GGTCACACCAGAGCAGCTCCAGTCCTCTGTATGATCGTGTGACTTCTCTGGTGTTTGCTGCAATTTCTGAGTGTCAGCCGGCGTTGGGAGGAGAGCGGGAGCTTCATCAAGCCCTCGCATCAGTATTCAAATTTAATTAACTCGCACGTTGTCTCTCTCGGATAATTAAAGTCGGTGTCGCCGCAGCTGAGGTTTGTGTGGCGTTACCAAGTGCTTGCTGATTTGATTTGCCTTTTTGAAACGTTTTTTTTTTAAATCTTGTGTGTGTTCTTTTGCAGGTGCACTTTCAGGTTCCCCAGCACAAACATCAAGATCACATTCACAGCCCTGTCCAGTGGGAAGAAAGTGAAGCGCGAAGCTCCAGAGTCCCCAGTGAAACCAGTACAGCCCCACATCTCCCCACTGACCATCAACATTCCAGACAACATCGCTCACCTAATGAGCCCCCTGCCATCGCCTACTGGCACCATTAGGTACGCAATACTGTTATGTTTTCACCGGCTTGAAGCAGGCAGGAAGTGACTGTTCTCCGTATGACTCAAAATCCGCCCGTTACGTCGATTCTTTCACTCAACAAATGAGTAGAAACGCGCCTCACAAACGATTGCTCAGCATTTGTATAACTGTTGTATTTGTGCGACTGCAAAGATGGGTTTAGGTCTTATTTAATATTTCTTGATGTCAAACATTAAATGTTGACAAAAGGACAAAGTTTCTGTTCTGTTTTTATAAATCTAACGAAATGCTGTCAATAAACCAAATGTCAAAAGTCGTGCTGTAGGAAGAAGACTTCAGTAAAGACCCAGATTTCTCAGTCTGAGGTCCTAGATCAGTGCATGGTGGTAAGAAGTGACTCCCACACTGCCCCTAGTTGACCTTGAGTTGTCAGCTGACCTTGACATGGCCCCTGTGTGGTGATCAGCTTAGGCTTAGTTCAGCGACTGCAGGGCTCAGAGAGGGAGGCGGTTCCATCTCAGACTCTTAGATCCTCTCAACCCCTGATCTCAGCCAGATGGCTGAAAACCAACCAGGTTTCTGCTGTCATACAGGGCCTATTTGAAGGTTATATGATAAATCGTGTTTACTGTCTGCAAATAAACAGTCGGCGTAATGAAAGCAGCAGCAGGTGTAGCACATGTGGGAATCCTGAGCTGCTGCCTTTGTTTGCTTTACCAACATAAGTCCCACGAGTACTGAAATGCACACTAAATATGGAAATTGTCCTTTACATTAAGTCTCTTCATCCCCTGGTTATTCAGTCTATTAACTGGATAATTAGACTTGATTAAGATTTGAATGCGTTGTTGCTTTAGGCCTGAAAAAAGTCACTGCAGTATAATCTGGGAGGTAGGCCATTTGCATAGACGTGGGCCAAAAGCGTGCCACTGCAGCAGAGACTGCGGATGAGCCCGAGCCAGGGAGCATAACTGCGGCCCTTTCCAGACTTACAGGCCAGTTCGATTTTAGGTTTAAGCACTTAATCCAAATCTGTTGATGCGTGTTTATATCTTGATTTAGTGTACATTATCTTTACAGTAAGCTTTCTGGCCGCTGACTGTGTCGTTGTATTGTTCTCCTGCAGTGCTGCTAACTCGTGCCCCTCCAGCCCGCGGGGCGCAGGCTCGTCGGGCTACAGGATGGGTGGTCGCATGGTCAGCTCTGCAGAGCTGCAGCTTATAAACGACAACTCCCAGCCCGACAACGACAAAGACGCCTCTGGAGGGGACAGTCCCAAGGTGAGAGCGGGATTAAAGTCCAGTGAGAGTTTCAAATCTGACCGTTTAGTTTGTGATTCTGCTCAACTTTTCATCACTTACACACCCACAATGCACCATGTGCTTTTAATCCCAGTATTACAGTTGACACGCACAGTTTTAGACACTAAATATCAGTTTATTTTCTGCCTACTCAAGCATACAAAGTACATTGAAAGAAACCCCCTCATATTCTACATGTAATTACCACCAAGAAGAAGATATTTATTGTAAATATAACAAGGGTTCCAACAAAGAATTGTTTATTATTGTGCTCAATATTTTTTCGATTATTCTATAAAATGTCAGAAAATAAATTCCCATGGTGGTCGTCGGTGAATTGCTTTAGCCCTACTACAAAAACATGGGGATGGATTGATTTTTGAGTTTGACATTAAGCCAAAAGCTGGAACAGACCTGTATCCCATAATGAGAGCCCATGCATGAG